GAGAAGATCTGCAAAGAGGAGTGGGACAAAATCCCTCCTGAGATGTGTGCAAACCTGGTGGCCAACTACAAGAAACGTCTGACCTCTGTGATTGCCAACAAGGGTTTTGCCACCAAGTACTAAGTCATGTTTTGCAGAGGGGTCAAATACTTATTTCCCTCATTAAAATGCAAATCAATTCATAACATTTTTGACATGCGTTTTTCTGGATGTTTTTGTTGTTATTCTGTCTCTCACTGTTCAAATAAACCTACCATTAAAATTATAGACTGATCATTTCTTTGTCAGTGGGCAAACGTACAAAATCAGCAGGGGATCAAATACTTTTTTCCCTCACTGTAGTTATTGGAGATGTATTATATTTCCGGTGTTAGTGAATCCGACAGACAGATTGGAGACAGACCAGGAGACATCACCAGCACTGACTCCCACACTATGACTTCTCCATATTGTCCTGCTGTGGGTGTGTCTTGGACATGTCATTCTGTCTTGTTCCCTCCAGCTCTGCTTTTCCAGCTGCCAGAACTGTTGTCCACAAGCTGTGAGGAGGGTTCTTGATTCCATTGGAAACACATAAACACACACAGGATGGTATAGTGTGTATCCAGAGACCTCCAGTCACAGGATGGTATAGTGTGTATCCAGAGACCTCCAGTCACAGGATGGTATAGTGTGTATACGGACACCTCCAGTCACAGGATGGTATAGTGTGTATCCAGAGACCTCCAGTCACAGGATGGTATAGTGTGTATCCAGAGACCTCCAGTCACAGGATGGTATAGTGTGTATCCAGAGACCTCCAGTCACAGGATGGTATAGTGTGTATCCAGAGACCTCCAGTCACAGGATGGTATAGTGTGTATCCAGAGACCTCCAGTCTGACACACAGAAAAGGGGAAATCTAAAGCAGATGTCCAGCTGAGGTGTGTGTGTGTGTGTGTGTGTGTGTGTGTGTGTGTCAGTGTGTGTGTGTGTGTGTCAGTGTGTGTGTGTGTGTGTCAGTGTGTGTGTGTGTCAGTGTGTCAGTGTGTGTCAGTGTGTGTGTGTGTGTGTGTGTGTGTGTCAGTGTGTGTGTGTGTGTGTGTGTGTCAGTGTGTGTGTGTGTGTGTCAGTGTGTGTGTGTGTCAGTGTGTGTGTGTGTGTGTCAGAGTCTCAGAATTCTTGCTGTAACATTATCTATGTGTCTGACTGTATATTTGACCTCATGTAACTTTATCTAACTCTACATGCTTGAGACCGTTGTTAGTTAATACCTCACACTCTGTTTGACTTCTCAAGCAACAGAACAGGCACAAAGCAACAGAACAGGCACAAAGCAACAGAACAGGCAGAAAACAACAGGCAGAAAGCAACAGAACAGGCAGCCTGCTTGGATGGGAACTTCTAATATAAATATATGGCAGCACCCAAGGGGCTTGAATTTTCTAGCTCTCCCCGTCGATATTGCAGTGACAGTGTCCCCACGAGTGACAGAACACTGAGCCAATCACGGCGCAACTAGAGAACATTACCAACCCCTACGCTCTGTATGTTCCGCTGGCTGCCACACCACCACAGAAAGCACCGAGCTAGGCTGAAACACCTGCATTATGGAGCTGCCTTACTCAAGAAAGCAACAAAGAGACCATGTTTGTACGCGACTTTATTAACTCAATGTTTAAACATATTTTTTTACATTGTTTGCAAACTGAAATGTTACACGAATTAATGCCAAAATAACATGCAAAACAGGCAACAACAAAAAATATATTTGTATTTTATTTAGCTAAATGGGAGGGGCTCCACCCCACCCGCCCTGAATGATGGGTCGCCACTGAACTGAACTAGAGCTGGTTGGCAGTGTGACTACATTTTTTTATTTTTGGGGGGTTTAATGGTGGCGTGCCCCAAATTCAGAGAATGCTTTTTGCAAAAATATATACATTTTTCTGTGTATTTAGTGGTGCAGTTAGTCACTACTTTTTTTATGGTGTTTTGCTCCTTCTTCAGCTTCTATGTGGAATTTTATGATGGTCGCATTTACCACCAGCAGCTCCTGCTTCAAAACATCTCTCTCTCTCTCTCTCTCTCGTTGAGGCTGGAGACGAGGTTGTTACTATCAGAGTGACATGTGGTTGAAAAGACTGACATTCAGGAAGTATGGTGACTATGGATCAGAATGTATCGCTAGACTATCAGTGGACACATGTTGGTATATTTAGTCACAACAACCTCTGAAATGTGGACATTAGTTGAATGCATTAATGTAATAACCTTAAGCCTAATAGCTGCAGGTATCCAACAACCAAACAGCTGATGACGCAAACCTTAGCTGTGTTATCATACTAACCGCACTAACCGTACTATTTGTGACGTGATTTGAGTATGTAGTATGCTTATTGGTCGTAGTGTACAAGCAGTGGACACTATTTTCATGCTTTTAGGGACAAATAATGCAATTCTTCAGAAAATGGTGGAAAATATGCAGCCGGAGTCAGACGAGAGCGGATAGAAATTCAGTGCTTTAACTAATTATGACAAATGTTAAGAAAATGTTAAGCAATGTAGTATAGTAATGACTTTTCAAATAAATTAGGTTACACGTCATGTTGGCTGACTATTTGTTAGCTACGCTATCCTTACGAACCGCATAGCATTAAGGCAGTATGTACCGGTATGTTAGCTAGCTACCTAACGTTAGTTGGCTACTAATACATGGAACTTGCCAGTATATTAACTATTTGCTAACTAACTAACTACTAACGTTTATTGACTTGATTATTCACGTCATTCTTAGCTAAGTGGTATAGTCGTTGTGCGTTCTCAATGGACATTGTTAATTCTGGCAATCTACTCCGATTTCAGAGCGCTCCCGTCTGAGTTGAATATGGCCGGTGTCAGTAAACGTCAGCAAAAAAAAGTGTAATTAAATTGTTACCAGCAGCACAGTTACAGTCACCAACGCTCTGGATAACATGAAAACAGCCTAACCAGCTCTGCTAGGGCGAGTAAAATGGTCAGAGTGAGCTGTTCTCTCATTTGTGTCTGGAAGTAGCTAGCCAACGTTAGCCAGTTAGCTTGGGTGCTTGACTGCCGTTGTGAGGTCAAAATGCTCGGATCAACCCTACTCCTCGGCCAGAGCTCTGACCGCTCTGAATTCACGAACGTCCAGAGCACACTGAGTGCCCTCTGGCACTCCAGATTTAATTTACAAACATACCCTTCGGTCGTAAGATGACTAGCTAGTCATTTGTTGCTATGCAAGAGTTTGCATAGCAACAGCATCAACTTCCGGTAGACAGGTGTAGCGTTGGACGCTCAACTGAAAGGATACCGTTCGTTCACGGTATACTAAAATGAACTAATAGTATATAGTATGTACAGTACCAGTCAAATGTTTGGACACACCTACTCATTCCAGGGTTTTTTCTTTATTTTTACTATATTCTACATTGTAGAATAATAGTGAAGACATCAAAACTATGAAATAACACATATGGAATCATGTAGTAACCAAAAAAGTGTTAAACAAATCAAAAATATATTTTATATTTGAGATCCTTCAAAGTAGCCACCCTTTGCCTTGATGACAGCTTTGCACACTCTTGGCATTCTCTCAACCAGCTTCACCTGGAATGCTTTTCCCACAGTCTTGAAGGAGTTCCCACATATGCTGAGCACTTGTTGGCTGCTTTTCCTTCACTCTGCAGTCCAACTCATCCCAAACCATCTCAATTGGGTTGAGGTCGGGTGATTATGGAGGCCAGGTCATCTGATGCAGCACTCCATCACTCTCCTTCTTGGTAAAATAGCCCTTACACAGCCTGGAGGTGTGTTTTGGGTCATTGTCCTGTTGAAAAACAAATGATAGTCCCACTAAGCCCAAACCAGATGGGATGGCGTATTGCTGCAGAATGCTGTGGTAGCCATGCTGGTTAAGTGTGCCTTGAATTCTAAATAAATCACAGACAGTGTCACCAGCAAAGCACCCCCACACCATCACACCTCCTCCTCCATGCTTCACACATGCAGAGATCATCCGTTCACCTACTCTGCGTCTCACAAAGACACGGTGGTTGGAACCAAAAATCTCAAATTTGGACTCATCAGACCAAAGGACAGATTTCCACCGGTCTAATGTCCATTGCTCGTGTTTCTTGGCCCAAGCAAGTCTCTTATTATTAGTGTCCTTTAGTAGTGGTTTCTTTGCAGCAATTCGACCATGAAGGCCTGATTAAGTCTCCTCTGAACAGTTGATGTTGAGATGTGTCTGTTACTTGAACTCTGAAGCATTTATTTGGGCTGCAATCTGAGGTGCAGTTAACTCTAATGAACTTATCCTCTACAGCAGAGGTAACTCTGGGTCTTCCATTCCTGTGGCGGTCCTCATGAGAGCCAGTTTCATCATAGCGCTTGATTGTTTTGCGACTGCACTTGAAGAAACTTTCAAAGTTCTTGAAATTTTCCGGATTGACTGACCTTCGTCTTAAACTAATGATCGACTGTCATTTCTCTTTGCTTATTTGAGCTGTTCTTGCCATAATATGGAGTTGGTTTTTTACCAAATAGGGCTATCTTCTGTATACCACACCTACCTTGTCACAACACAACTGATTGACTCAAACTATCTTCTGTATACCAAGATGGAAACAAGGAAACAAGGCACACCTGTTAATTGAAATGCATTCCAGGTGACTACCTCATGAAGCTGGTTGAGAGAATGCCAAGAGTGTGCAAAGCTGTCATCAAGGCAAAAGGGTGGCTACTTTGAAGAATCTCAAATATATTTTGATTTGTTTAACACTTTTTTTGGTTACTACATGATTCCATATGTGTTATTTCATAGTTTTGATGTCTTCACTATTATTCTACAATGTAGAAAATTAAGAAAATTAAGAAAACCCCTTGAATGAGTAGGTGTGTCCAAACTTTTGACCGGTACTGTAGTATATACTCATTAAGTATGTCGTATACAGTATGTTAGTATTTGAACACAGCTTTTGGTTTTACATGCATAATCATTACACAATGAATGACCCTGTGTTGCAACAAACCTTCTTCACAAATACAACTAATGTTATCAATACTGTCGACACAAACAACATTATTATTGTTATTTGCCCGAGGTTCAGTTCTGTTATTTTTGGGCTAAGTTCCAATGAACAGTGCAGTGAATGGTTACGCAGAAAGCCAGTCAACAGAGTACCGTTGACATGGAGGCACACAGCGTGGTCTAGGTCCGGAATCTTCACCTTCTCTTTGTTTATGGCTTCGAGCCATTTGGTGTCACAGCAGTTGAATGAGTTGCCACTGACATACAACACATGAAGATAAAGAGACAAGCGATCAACCAAAGATTCATTCATGGACGTTAGACCGTTATTTCTCACGTCAAGTTCTGTCAAAGGAGAACAGCTGATGGTGCTCGGCAGGACGTCTACGTTGTTGTCGGACATGTTGAGTCGTCTCAATGCTTTCAGACAAGGCAGAGACAAGGCAGAGGTTGTCATGTTATTACCGCTGATACTCAGAGACTGGAGGCTACTTTGCAACCCTTCTAGTGCGCCACTATTCAAGATCACATCTACATTACTGGCCAGGTTGAGAGAAACCAAAGGGGTTCTTTCAAATGTGTTCTGATGGAGTGTTTTGATCCCGTTGTCTTGGAGATCTAGATGTCTCAGAGTCTTGATGTTCCGGAAGGAAACACAGGAGGACATATTAGTTGGACTATTCTCTCTCATTGTCTCAGATGGTCCCAGTTGGTCCTTTGGATCACAAGGCCTCACAGAGTTCTCCTTCAGGTTTAATGTCTCTATGTTCGGCAGGGCTTCCAGGAACAAGGTGGAGAGTTGTCGAAGACCGTTGTTCTGCAGGTCGAAGTAGCGTAGGGAAGGAAGAGTCAAGGGAGGTTGGCGGTAGCAACCAACATGACCGCTGCAGCCCTTCGCGGTGTTATAGCTGATGTCCTGGAGACAGTTCTTGCTGAGGTTCAGCGTCACCAAAGACGTCAGATGGCTCAGAGTCTCCAAAGGTAAAGACCTGAAGTGGTTACTACTGAGGTCCATGTAAACTAACGGCATCAGTCTCCAGTTGGAGTATACGTTGTTGTTTTCTACAGCATCCTTAACCTTATCATCACTCGTTAGTTCTCTGTACAGAGAGTCTGCCTCTGATATCAGGGTGTCTGTCTCTAAGGCCCCCACCATGTTGCTCTGTAAGTGGAGGTATCTCAACTGGTTGGTCTTGGGGACCATAGGGAAATATAGGAGGTTGTTGTAGCTCAGGTCTAAGATCTCCAGCTCGTATGGGTGACCGTCCTCACGGGTCACAAAGAACTCTATGGAATTCCTGCTAAGATTCAAGAGTTTCACCTGATGGAGTTTAAAATCACAGATGTAGACTAGATTATTTCTGGCTAAGTTTAAGGTCTTGAGTTTCTTCAACGTTTCGAACGTTCCCTCCTCTATCGCCGTGATCAGATTGTTCTCAATGCGAATGCTTCTCATGCTCAGGCTCTCTGCAAACAGCTTGGCCGTGAGTCGCGTCAAACCGTTGCCCGTGAGATCCAGATGTTCTAGAACTGATTTGTTATGAAGGTAGAGTTCCACCGCTTTATCATCCAGACCGTTCATGGAGATATCCAAACTCCTCAGTCTGTGGAGAGACCCGAGAGCTCGGCTGTTACTGTCCACATTGTGGCTCAATGCGTTCCTGGCCAAGTTCAGCTCTTGAAGCTGGGCCACATCTCTGAAAGCCCCTTCAGATATGATCTCCAGCTGGTTGTAGCTGAGGGTCAGCCTCAGTAGGGATGGAAGACCCAGACCCTGGCTGTTTATATGTCTGATAAAGTTGTTGGATAGATCCAGATCCCTCAGCCTCACGTCCAGCCCCTCAGGAACAGATGACAGGTTCTTGAACCGCAAAGAAGTTGGCTCCTTGAAATGACAAAGATGAGAGAAATAATGAAGCTTTCAACACCGTCTATAAAGTGTTTTGATATATGTATGAAATAATAATAAAGCTTTCAACACCGTCTATAAAGTGTTTTGATATATGTATGAAATCAAATGAAGCAGAAATGTACTATCCATCATCAAAATAACAAGCCTTCCAGTGACCAAAACCAGATATTAGATTTAATATCAGCCTAAGAAGCCATGACAGTACAGTGTCACTGAGCTCTGTATTCAGATGTGTCAGAGGGGTTCATATCTGTGAGATCAACTGGGTTTAAATTAATCACCAGGCAAGGTTACTCATCAGGTGAGAATGGTTAATTTAATCACCAGGCAAGGTTACTCATCAGGTGAGAATGGTTAATTGATTCACCAGGCAAGGTTACTCATCAGGTGAGAATGGTTAATTAAATCACCAGGCAAGGTTACTCATCAGGTGAGAATGGTTAATTAAATCACCAGGCAAGGTTACTCATCAGGGAGAATGGTTAATAAATCACCAGGCGAAGGTATCATCAGGTGAGAATGGTTAATTATTCACCAGGCAAGGTTACTCATCAGGTGGAGAATGGTTAATTGATTCACCAGGCAAGGTTACTCATCAGGTGAGAATGGTTAATTGATACCAGGTCAAGGTTAATCATCAGGTGAGAGATGGTATTAAATGACCAGGCCAAGGTACCATCCAGTTGAGAATGGTTAATTCAATCCACCAGGCAAGGTTATCATCAGGTGAGAATGGTTAATATTAAATCACCAGGCAAGGTACTCTCAGGTGAGAATGGTTAATTGAGTCACCAGGCAAGGTTACTCATCAGGTGAGAATGGTTAATTGATTCACCAGGCAAGGTTACTCATCAGGTGAGAATGGTTAATTGAATCACCAGGCAAGGTTACTCATCAGGTGAGAATGGTTAATTGATTCACCAGGCAAGGTTACTCATCAGGTGAGAATGGTTAATTGATTCACCAGGCAAGGTTACTCATCAGGTGAGAATGGTTAATTGATTCACCAGGCAAGGTTACTCATCAGGTGAGAATGGTTAATTGATTCACCAGGCAAGGTTACTCATCAGGTGAGAATGGTTAATTGATTCACCAGGCAAGGTTACTCATCAGGTGAGAATGGTTAATTGAATCACCAGGCAAGGTTACTCATCAGGTGAGAATGGTTAATTAAATCACCAGGCAAGGTTACTCATCAGGTGAGAATGGTTAATTAAATCACCAGGCAAGGTTACTCATCAGGTGAGAATGGTTAATTGATTCACCAGGCAAGGTTACTCATCAGGTGAGAATGGTTAATTGATTCACCAGGCAAGGTTACTCATCAGGTGAGAATGGTTAATTGATTCACCAGGCAAGGTTACTCATCAGGTGAGAATGGTTAATTGAATCACCAGGCAAGGTTACTCATCAGGTGAGAATGGTTAATTAAATCACCAGGCAAGGTTACTCATCAGGTGAGAATGGTTAATTAAATCACCAGGCAAGGTTACTCATCAGGTGAGAATGGTTAATTAAATCACCAGGCAAGGTTATTCATCAGGTGAGAATGGTTAATTAAATCACCAGGCAAGGTTTCTCATCAGGTGAGAATGGTTAATTGATTCACCAGGCAAGGTTACTCATCAGGTGAGAATGGTTAATTGAATCACCAGGCAAGGTTACTCATCAGGTGAGAATGGTTAATTAAATCACCAGGCAAGGTTACTCATCAGGTGAGAATGGTTAATTAAATCACCAGGCAAGGTTACTCATCAGGTGAGAATGGTTAATTAAATCACCAGGCAAGGTTACTCATCAGGTGAGAATGGTTAATTGAATCACCAGGCAAGGTTTCTCATCAGGTGAGAATGGTTTATTGATTCACCAGGCAAGGTTACTCATCAGGTGAGAATGGTTAATTGATTCACCAGGCAAGGTTACTCATCAGGTGAGAATGGTTAATTGATTCACCAGGCAAGGTTACTCATCAGGTGAGAATGGTTAATTGATTCACCAGGCAAGGTTACTCATCAGGTGAGAATGGTTAATTGAATCACCAGGCAAGGTTACTCATCAGGTGAGAATGGTTTATTATTATTTTTTTATTTTTTATTTTTTTTGGGGGGGGAATGGATCAGCTTAATATTGCAGATAGATTGTATCTTCTATCAATGTAATTGTCTGCATCACTTCCAATCCCCCATGTTTTTTATATATATATTCCCCTTTATTACTTTTCAACCCCACCATCCTTTCCCTACTTGGAGTAAATTAGTGAACAACAATGCCCAGGCCTCTACTTCCGGTCTATACTTACTATCTACACCTTATGGACAGAGTTCATTTTACAATAATTCTATTATATATATATATATATATTTTTTTTGCTCCTGAACTTCTTCTACTCTCAACCTCTCCGATCATTTTCATGATGTCCATCCGGTTTGCTTCTAAATGCCATATCTTTCTAACTGTGCTCTTTCACAAAAGCTCTCAACCTATAACCTATATACTTATTATGGACACAGTATGCTTTACATGAGTTATCTTGTTGTTATTAGTTGTTGTTAGTTGTTATTAGTCCCATCCTTCAGCTCCATTCAACACCTCCCATCTATCTCTTAACACCATCCATATTGGATTTCTATTTGCCATATATATTTCAACTGTACTGTGATGTTTTACAAAAGTTCTGAACCTTTCTATTCTCATTGCTTCTACAGATTGTGAATTAAAAATAAACATTTTTGCTAAAAGTATTATTATATTATTGATTGATTGACTATGACTTTTCAGATCACCCAGTAGTGCTATCTGCAGGGTTAGCTCCAGGTAAATATTGCAATCCTTTAGCCATTCCTGGACCTGTGTCCAAAAACAAGCTACAAATGGACAGAACCAAAACAAATGATCTAATGATTCTGTCTCTTCTCAGCAAAATCTGCAGAGCTGGGAAGATTGTATCCCCCATATAAATTACATTCTATTGGTAGCAAGAATTTTATATAATAATTTAAATTGAAAGATTCTAATTTTTGAATCCGGTGTCGTTTTGCGTGTCAGTTCATAAACACTATGCCATGGGATCGGTACGTCAAAGATCTCTTCCCAACTATTTTGCAATCTATATGGGACGGCTGTCAATCCTTTGGTCCTTAAGTGAAACTGATATACTTTTTTATTTATCACAATTTTCTTTAACCAATTATGTTCTTTAATGCAAGGCCGACAGACAAGTTCCTTACTTTCTCCCCCTTCCACTTTCCTCTTCCACTTTTGCGGTAAGGCTGCAATTATTTGGTTGTAATTTTGGGTAGAGCAGACATTTCCATATGTTTTTGTTAGCTGCATGTGCGACATAACTCCACCAGTCCTACCGATGATATCATTTACGAAGATTATACCTTTTTTAAACATTCTGTCAAAAAATAAAGGTTTTTTGTCAATTAGTATATTTGAATTTAACCACAATATTTGTTGCATTATTTGTTCTGTCGTTTCTGGAGGATTAAATTGAAATTGCAACCAACTTTCTATGGCTTGTTTTAGAAATAGTGACATTTGGGAGATTATTTCCTTTTCAAATAACTGAAAGTGAGAGGTTGTAATCTGAATAAAGGGAAAAAGGCCTTTCTTGAACATTGTGTGAGACAATCTTACTAATTTGCTTGAGAACCAGTTCGGATTTAAGTATAACTTTTGGATGACTGAAGATTTTAGTGATAGGTCTAATGCTTTAATATTTAATAATTTCTGTCCTCCGAATTCATATTCATTATATAAATATGTTCTTTTAATTTTGTCTGGCTTGCCGTTCCAAATAAAATTGAATATTTTTTTCTCATATAATTTAAAAAACTGTTTGCTAGGCGTAGGCAAGACCATAAGCAAATAGGTAAACTGGGATAATACTAAAGAGTTAATCAGGGTGATTTTTCCACAAATTGACAGGTATTTTCCTTTCCATGGTAGTAAGATCTTATCTATTTTTGCTAACTTTCTATAAAAATGTATTGAAGTGAGATCATTTATTTCCTTTGGGATATGTATTCCGATATGTATTCCGAGTATATCCACAGGTTACTCATCAGGTGAGAATGGTTAATTGAATCACCAGGCAAGGTTACTCATCAGGTGAGAATGGTTAATTGAATCACCAGGCAAGGTTACTCATCAGGTGAGAATGGTTAATTGAATCACCAGGCAAGGTTACTCATCAGGTGAGAATGGTTAATTAAATCACCAGGCAAGGTTACTCATCAGGTGAGAATGGTTAATTGATTCACCAGGCAAGGTTTCTCATCAGGTGAGAATGGTTAATTGAATCAGCTCCATTAAATCTGCATTACTTCTCTGACTAATATATTGAAAAGACTTCACCATCCTACCTGTTGGTCATCATGTAGCCTTCCAGTCCCGGTGTTGAGCTGGATGAGGCTGTGAGACAGCGAGCAGCACAGCAGTAGAAGGGATCTGATGGTTGTCGCCGTAGGTCTGATCATTCTCCTGGGTCTGTCCTGACAACACTACACTAGGGTGCATGAGTCTGCATCACCATTTATAGCTGCCGGTCATAAACAAAGAGGAGACAAGACAAGCTGTGGACACCAGATACGCTTTGTGGACCTGTTTACTCAACAAACTCATTACTCATGACACATTGTTACAGCACAGAGATACATATCTACAAGTCTGGAGATGGACAGAAATGTGGCTTTTTGTTGTTGTTGTTATTAGTGTATTAAAAATAGACTATTTTATAGAATATAACATTTAAAAAATACTATAAAAAATGGGATGTGGCATTCAATAAAAGACAAAATTACCATAAAAGACTTGTAATTATTTAGACACAAAATTACCATAATGACTATGTAATTATTTAGACATGACAGTTTTGATAATCCCAATGATTGTGTCATTAGATTAGAGGGATATTATGTCAACCAGCCTGTCCTCCTACCCGGGTATATTTATCCTCTGTTAGTTCCTGCTATAGTCCTGGAAATGGAAACCTTTCAGAAATAGAAAGGAAGAATAAATAAAGGAGAGGAGAGAGGGAGGAGGGAAATCCTGAAAGGGTATAAACAGACGCATGGAAATACTCTGTGATGACAGCACACAGACAGAAATACTCTGTGATGACAGCGCACACACACACACACACACACAGAAACATCCTGTGACGACAGAGTAATGCATCCAACCACCAGGTGGATTCAGGACTACCGGAATACTTTATTACACTTGAATTATTGACACATAAAAACCCAACATTCAACGTTGGACATCATCACCCATGCTCAGCACAACAGCATTCAAGGTCTATTTCATATTGTCATTATTCCGATTAAAAACGTCTTCTCCCAGCCATCTTCCACTGTCCGTGGATCTCAGTGTACTACAGATGTGGAGTTCTTACAATAGCTCAGTGAGAAGAGCTCATCCTGTAAGGGGAGGACGTCCACATGACATCACATCCTGCTGGTGACGTCCGTCTCCTCGTAGTCAGTTCAGCTGTATGATGCCAAAGTAGGTGGAGTCTGCGTCCATGGAGACCTGGGCTTGGGGTCGATCTGGGATCACCAGCTCCAGCTCATCTTCTCTCTCCAGCTTCACGATGCCTGAGACAGGACAGACAACCAGACAAAGCCTCATAGAGACGCTGAACACAGAGAGGAAGTGAACAGGAAGTAACTCTGTAGAGCAGCCCAGCCCTAGAAGCGACACTTCATATCAACTGTAAGAACGTGTTATGTGTTTTCTGAGGAATTCGGCGTTCTCTGTGTTGGTCCAACCCCCCTCTGAGAATCAGAGGTTACATCATGTAGGCCTGACATCTGATTGGAGGTTAACTTTACAGTAATACTATTGGTCAACAATTCAGATTTTGAATCCAAACAACTTGCTAATTATATTTATGGAGTCAGATAAACATTTTAATAGGCTAATTGCTTAGTCTTTTTACGAGTCACGTGTGAGGTATTTATAATATCATACATGATCAATATTACTGTCCACTACAACTGATCTCCCATTTTCATTTCCTAGTAGTGGAAACACCACAGGTGTTGGGTTGGGTTCACCTCCAGTGTAGCAGGTATTGGCATAGTTGGTCTGGGGCATCTCCTGTAGACAGCGGAGCAGCTCTGTGGATCTCTGATTGGCTCCTCGACGACGCACTATGTGACCAAGGATGGTGCCTTGGCTCTGGAACAACACCTGGGAAACAACAGGATGAACCATGTGGTCATCATAATGTTCTACACCGTGTGACTGTCATGGTTCCAACGCAGGTGTCCTGTGTCCCAGAAGAGTAGCCCACTAAGCCTAGGGCCTCAAGCAAGGTTAGCATGGTCACCGAACCATCTCCCTTACATTTGCAGCATAACCCATTATGCACATTGATATGCAAGACAAAGGGGTGGTATCTCTGACAATATACCTGGCCAAACACTATGAAGAAGCCATCTTGTTGGACGATGATTCTGTCTCCAGTGGAGGAGATGGCCTCCCCTTGATGCACAGCAACTGTCCAAGGAATCACCGTCACATTTCCTGGGGAAGAAAAATAACATACTGTAGCAAGCCCCATGAACCAGCGACTCAACAACCCAACACAATTAGCTGTTACAACAAGAGATCCTACCCCTTGGCGAGACTGTTAGGTGTTGTGTTAAGGTCGCTAGAATACGTTTAGCTTGTGATGAAGATTGAAACTAAAATTCATAGCCAAATGAGTAAAGTCTTTACCTCTAACAAATGGCTGTTCTTCTATGTTGGCTGACAGCTGCAGAAACGACTGCTGAGCTACAGACAGAAAACGGAGGTACTGAAGTGGCATAAAAACATCAACCGTCCTCAAAAGATCTAAAATGCTCAGTGACACTAACTCATACCAACTGTCCCTCCACTACTGCCCCCCTGCTCCCGTTTCGTTCTCAGAGAGGATGCTGTCTGTGAACCCAGAGTCTGAGAGTCTTTCTCTGTCCGTCTCTGCCACTTCAGAGAAGCTGCTCGTTTTGATCTCTGACAGAAAACAGAGAAGTCGAAGAAAAGGATCTCCCTTTACATGTCATCCTTAGAAACATAAGGCAATGCAGTAAACATGTTCCTTAGAGCTTTTAAACGGCAGTGGAGTGAATGATCCGTACGTTCTCCACAGGTTAGTCTGGTGCAAGCTATCCCTAGAACATAAGACTGTGGAGTAACTGATACCAATATACAATTGAATCACATACCTCCCATGTTCTGGACACACCAGTTATCATCCCGTCAGTGGATTCTTTAGGCTGTCGCTTTAGGTTTAAAACATCTCCTCTGAGTTTGTTGATATCACCTTCTAAAACGGTTACTTTGTATACAAGGAAGAGGTTAAGAAATACTGTTAATGTTGATGCTAATAGTAAAGTTTGGTACAGCATGGTTAGACTTAGAAATATGAATGTCTTCACAACACACAGACAGGGTGGGGTCACTGGTCCCAATCGCACCCTATTCCCCATTTAGTGCACTACTTTTAACCAGGGCCCACAGGCATTTGGGATGCACACTAACATTTTCTTGACACAGGAAGCTTAGAATGTGTTCAGTTTCAGAATCAAAACATAAATGAGGAAGTATTTTTAAGACGGCAACTGTTGTTGTTTCTGCTGTGGCCAGAAGCACTATAACGTGGAAGGGTGCCATTAGGAGGCAGCTGTTAACTTCAGATTAGGGCAGACAGCAGAGAGAGTTTGCAGTTTATTATGAAACTCCCTGACTCACAGACAGTGCATTTGGAAAGTATTCAGACCCATTCCCTTTTCCAGTATAATTTTTTCTCATCCATCTACACACAATACCCCATAATGACAAAGCGATAAAAAACATAAATACCTTATTTACATAAGTATTCAGACCCTTTGCTATGAGACTATGAGCTCAGGTGCATCCTGTTTCCGTTGATCATCCTTGAGATGTTTCTACAACTTGATTGGAGTCCACCTGTGGTAAATTCAATTGATTGGACATAATTTGGAAAGGCACACACCTGTCTATATAAGGTCCCACAGTTGACAGTGCATGTCAGAGCAAAAACCAAGCCATGACGTCGAAGGAATTGTCCGTAGAGCTCAGATCTGGGGAAGGGTACCAAAAAATGTCTGCAGCATTGAAGGTCCCCAAGAACACAGAGGCCTCCATCATTCTTAAATGGAAGAAGTTTGGAACCACCAAGACACTGTTCTTGGGGACCTTTAATGCTGCAGACATTTTTATTTATTTATTTCTTACTTCAGTATATTTAGTAAATACTTTCTTAACACTTATTTTTCTTAAAACTGCATTGTTGGTTAAGGGCTTGTAAGTAAGCATTTCACTGTAAGGTCTAAACTGTTGTATTCGGCGCATGTGACAAATAACATTTGATTTGACTCTCCTAGAGCTGAGTGGTCGGAAGACTGAGCAATCGAGAGAAGGGCCTTGGTCAGGGAGGTGACCAAGAACCCGATGGTCACTCTGACAGAGCTCCAAAGTTCCTCTGTGGAGATGGGAGAAACTTCCATCTCTGCAGCACTCCACCAATCAGGCCTTTATGGTAGAGTGGCCAGACGGAAGCCACTCCTCAGTAAAAGGCACGACAGCCCACTTGGAGTTTACCAAAAGGCACCTAAAGACTCTCAGACCATGAGAAACAAGATTCTCTGGTCTGATGAAACCAAGATGGAACTCTTTGGCCTGTATGCCAAGCGTCACGTCTGGAGGAAACCTGGCACCATCCCTACGGCGAAGCATGGTGATGGCAGCATCATGCTGTGGGGATGTTTTTCAGCGGCAGGGACTGGGAGACTAGTCAGGATCGAGGCAACGATGAACGGAGTAAAGTACAGAGAGATCCTTGATGTAAACCTGCTCCAGAGCGCTCAGGACCTCAGACTGGGGGCGAAGGTTCACCTTCCAACAGAACAACGACCCTAAGCACACAGCCAAGACAACGATGAGACAGCCTATAGGGAGGAGGTCAGAGACCTGGCAGTGTGGTGCCAGGATAACAACCTCTCCCTCAACGTGACCAAGACAAAGGAGATGATTGTGGACTACAGGAAAAAAATAGGACTGAGCACGCCCCCATTCTCATCGACGGGGCTGTAGTGGAACAGGTTGAGAGCTTCAAGTTCCTTGGTGTCCACATCACCAACGAACTAACATGGTCCAAACACACCAAGACGGTCGTGAAGAGGGCACTACAAAGCCTATTCCCCCTCAGGAGACTGAAAATATTTGGCATGGGTCCTCAGATCCTCAGAAAGTTCTACAGCTGCACCATCGAGAGCATCCTGACTGGTCGCATCACCGCCTAGTATGGCAACTGCTTGGCCTCCGACCGCAAGGCACTACAGAGGGTAGTGCGTACGGCCCAGTACATCACTGGGGCCAAGCTTCCTGCCACCCAGGACCTCTATACCAGGCGGTGTCAGAGGAAGGCCCTCAAAATTGTCAAAGACTCGAGACTCGAGCCACCCTAGTCATAGACTGTTCTCTCTGCTACCGCACGGCAAGCGGTACCGGAGTGCCAAGTCTAGGTCCAAAAGGCTTCTCAACAGCTTCTACCCCCAAGCCATAAGACTCCTGAACAGCTAATCATGGCTACCCAGACTATTTGCACTGCCCCCCCACCCCCACCCCATCTTTTTACGCTGCTGCTACTCTGTTAATTATTTATGCATAGTCACTTTAACTCTACCCACATGTACATATTACCTCAATTACCTCAACTAGCCGGTGCCCCCGCACATTGACTCTGCACCGGTACCCCCCTGTATATATAGCCTCCCTACTGTTATTTTATTTTACTGCTGCTCTTTTTTTCTCAACACTTTTTTGTTGTTTTATTTGACTTTTTTATAAAAAAATAAATGCATTATTGGTTAAGGTCAGTAAGCATTTAACGGTAATGTCTACACCTGTTGTATTCGGCACATGTGGCAAATAAAATTTGATTTGATTGATTTGATTTGAAGACAATGCAGGAGTATCTTCGAGACAAGTCTCTGAATGTCCTTGAGTGGCCCAGCCAGAGCCCGGACTTGAACCCGATCAAACATCTCTGGAGAGACCTGAAAATAGCTGTGCAGCGACGCTCCTCATCCAACCTGACAGAGCTTGAGAGGATCTGCAGAGAAGAATGGGAGAAACTCCCCAAATACAGGTGTGCCAAGCTTGTAGCGTCATACCCAAGATGACTCGATGCTGTAATCGCTGCCAAAGGTGCTTCAACAAAGTACTGAGTAAAGGGTTTTAATACTTATGTAAATGTGATGTTTCAGTTTTTTATTTTTAATACATTTGCAAAAATGTCTAAAAAACTGTTTTTGCTTTGTCATTATGGGGTATTGTGTGTAGATTGATGAGGGGAAAAAACAATTTAATCCATTTTAGAGTAAGGCTGTAACATAACAAAATGTGGAAAAATTCAAGGGGTCTGAATACTGAATGCACTGTAACTGTTCACATTCAGCACAGGACACATTCGAATACAAAGGCTTCTTTCAAACAACATCATTTGTTATTGTCATGGTTTCTAACCATTATCATTCAATACCACAGGCGGGGAGAATTCAGACAAAATACCAATGTTTTAAAACATACTTTTTTTATTTAATGCCATCCATCACACATTATTTTACAAAAGTATATCCGATTTTATATACATATGTACAGGAGATATATAAACATATGAACTGAATTACATTCATATGGTAATCAGGAACTGAAAACAACAACATTATGACAGAACGATAGGACTTTGTTACTGTGACGTGGTGCAGTATGTATAAATACAGTATGTGTCAGAGCAGTATCCTCCCTGAAAGATGTGTTTATCTTTCAGATTGGAGAACCAAGGCTACAGTGAATAAAACCATTAGACTGGCTAGGACAAGAATAGGCCAAAGGGTCCATCTGGCCCATTTACTATCATGAAGTGAGACGCATTGCAACAGTCTAAAATGGCCTCCTGTCTTCATCCGCTTGCTCAGGTAAGTATTATTTTGGGAAAAGTGAATAATGTAATCAACTGGTCTTCAACACTTCGTTTATCTGAATCAGATGTTTCACTGCAGAGACAACAATGTAGAGTTGGGTACTGAGTACTGCAGTAGTATGTAGAGTTGGGTACTGAGTACTGCAGTAGTATGTAGAGTTGGGTACTGAGTACTGCAGTAGTATGTAGAGTTGGGTACTGAGTACTGCAGTAGTATATAGAGTTGGGTACTGAGTACTGCAGTAGTATGTAGAGTTGGGTACTGAGTACTGCAGTAGTATATAGAGTTGGGTACTGAGTACTGCAGTAGTATGTAGAGTTGGGTACTGAGTACTGCAGTAGTATGTAGAGTTGGGTACTGAGTACTGCAGTAGTATGTAGAGTTGGGTACTGAGTACTGCAGTAGTATGTAGAGTTGGGTACTGAGTACTGCAGTAGTATATAGAGTTGGGTACTGAGTACTGCAGTAGTATGTAGAGTTGGGTACTGAGTACTGCAGTAGTATGTAGAGTTGGGTACTGAGTACTGCAGTAGTATGTAGAGTTGGGTACTGAGTACTGCAGTAGTATGTAGAGTTGGGTACTGAGTACTGCAGTAGTATATAGAGTTGGGTACTGAGTACTGCAGTAGTATGTAGAGTTGGGTACTGAGTACTGCAGTAGTATGTAGAGTTGGGTACTGAGTACTGCAGTAGTATGTAGAGTTGGGTACTGAGTACTGCAGTAGTATGTAGAGTTAGGTACTGAGTACTGCAGTAGTATGTAGAGTTGGGTACTGAGTACTGCAGTAGTATGTAGAGTTGGGTACTGAGTACTGCAGTAGTATGTAGAGTTGGGTACTGAGTACTGCAGTAGTATGTAGAGTTGGGTACTGAGTACTGCAGTAGTATGTAGAGTTGGGTACTGAGTACTGCAGTAGTATGTAGAGTTGGGTACTGAGTACTGCAGTAGTATGTAGAGTTGGGTACTGAGTACTGCAGTAGTATGTAGAGTTGGGTACTGAGTACTGCAGTAGTATGTAGAGTTGGGTACTGAGTACTGCAGTAGTATGTAGAGTTGGGTACTGAGTACTGCAGTAGTATGTAGAGTTGGGTACTGAGTACTGCAGTAGTATGTAGAGTTGGGTACTGAGTACTGCAGTAGTATGTAGAGTTGGGTACTGAGTACTGCAGTAGTATATAGAGTTGGGTACTGAGTACTGCAGTAGTATATAGAGTTGGGTACTGAGTACTGCAGTAGTATATAGAGTTGGGTACTGAGTACTGCAGTAGTATGTAGAGTTGGGTACTGAGTACTGCAGTAGTATGTAGAGTTGGGTACTGAGTACTGCAGTAGTATGTAGAGTTGGGTACTGAGTACTGCAGTAGTATATAGAGTTGGGTACTGAGTACTGCAGTAGTATGTAGAGTTGGGTACTGAGTACTGCAGTAGTATGTAGAGTTGGGTACTGAGTACTGCAGTAGTATTAGAGTTGGGTACTGAGTACTGCAGTAGTATGTAGAGTTGGGTACTGAGTACTGCAGTAGTATGTAGAGTTGGGTACTGTGTACTGCAGTAGTATGTAGAGTTGGGTACTGAGTACTGCAGTAGTATGTAGAGTTGGGTACTGAGTACTGCAGTAGTATGTAGAGTTGGGTACTGAGTACTGCAGTAGTATGTAGAGTTGGGTACTGAGTACTGCAGTAGTATGTAGAGTTGGGTACTGAGTACTGCAGTAGTATGTAGAGTTGGGTACTGAGTACTGCAGTAGTATGTAGAGTTGGGTACTGAGTACTGCAGTAGTATGTAGAGTTGGGTACTGAGTACTGCAGTAGTATGTAGAGTTGGGTACTGAGTACTGCAGTAGTATGTAGAGTTGGGTACTGAGTACTGCAGTAGTATATAGAGTTGGGTACTGAGTACTGCAGTAGTATATAGAGTTGGGTACTGAGTACTGCAGTAGTATATAGAGTTGGGTACTGAGTACTGCAGTAGTATGTAGAGTTGGGTACTGAGTACTGCAGTAGTATGTAGAGTTGGGTACTGAGTACTGCAGTAGTATATAGAGTTGGGTACTGAGTACTGCAGTAGTATGTAGAGTTGGGTACTGAGTACTGCAGTAGTATATAGAGTTGGGTACTGAGTACTGCAGTAGTATGTAGAGTTGGGTACTGAGTACTGCAGTAGTATGTAGAGTTGGGTACTGAGTACTGCAGTAGTATATAGAGTTGGGTACTGAGTACTGCAGTAGTATGTAGAGTTGGGTACTGAGTACTGCAGTAGTATATAGAGTTGGGTACTGAGTACTGCAGTAGTATGTAGAGTATACTCACTGATACTGGAGCTGCAGTTCTTTAAGGCCCCGATTCCGACCTGAGTTAAGCAAAATAAATGGACCTTAATCCCCCTTTGATGCTCTTTTCTCTCTATGTATATTTTGACCTTGAACGTTAGCATGAGAATAGCATCCTATTCACCCGCTATTCGTTCAGGGTGGAGATCTAAGAAATGAAGGTGTGTCTACACTGTATTCTGACCTTGACTTCATTCCCTCATAATTCCACCACGTTTACGAGCGATGAAACCGTGAATAAGGGTCTAGCAAACCTGCCGGTTCCAAATGGAAAAAGCATCTGCTTAATTTTTTCAGATAGAAATAACAGCATTCTCCATGCACTGTCATTTATAAATTGATAAGAGATGTTGATAAGATCAATGAGTAATCCGTTTGGAAAAAAATGGATTGTAAATACACATAGCAATTGTTTTAGCTGATTTTTCCTTATGATCCCTGGAGACGAATGTGAAACCAGTCAAAATCATAACATGACATGTATCGCGGCCCCTTTTCCACAGTGAAGTAGGCTATAAATAGCTGTGCCGTTATTAAGAAATTCTAATTGTCCGCCCTTATAATTTGCATGGATGGCATTTGGAGACCCGAACTACAGGCTTCCGTAGGGCGGAACCTGCCGAGTGGACGTATGCGCTTTACAACGTTTTAATTATATGCCCGTTTTATTTTACAATTTGTATTAAATATTAGCCACTATCTGGAGCCACTGTCGGTAAAACCCACATACATTTATACCTGTCACTTTAGTGTTCGTTTTCTTCAACTTGTAGCTTATACTTTCCATAATTCCAGTCCGTTTCCCTTTCTTTTCTCGGTCACGTCTGTGTCGTTGTTCCTGAGGGTCGCTAGCATTACTGGATCATATTAGGCTAACGTTGTGCAATAATTTGGGACATGTGGCCTATTCGATTCATTATGGAACTCAGACCACACGTAGCAGTTGAAACCTGGAGCCTTGAGCACGGTTCACGACGACTGGACCGTTGTCAACACAGTTCCATGAAGAGTGAGAATTAGGGGAGATTTACACGACTGCTGTTCAATCCCTAGGGGAGATTTACAGGACTGCTGTTCAATCCCTAGGGGAGATTTACAGGACCAGTTCAGTTCAGCCCCTATTGGACACTTTTCTCAACTGCCAATATTTCATGGATTGAACTTGAATATGCAAACTTGCATTCTGAATCAAACCACTGTATTTTTGATTAAATCAACAATATGTTTTGTGAGTAAAGGCTCTCCAAACCGTTTAAAACAAATGATTAATACATCCTTTCCTAACCCTGACCCTGACCCTAACCCTAAACCCTAACCCTAACCCTGACCCTAACCCTAACCCTGACCCTGACCCTGACCCCTAACCCTAACCCTAACCCTAAACCCTAACCCTAGCCCTAACCCTAACCCTGACCCTAACCCTAAACCCTAGCCCTAACCCTAAACCCTAACCCTAACCCTAAACCCTAACCCTAACCCTGACCCTGACCCTGACCCTAACCCCTAAACCTAACCCTAACCCTAGCCCTAACTCTAACCCTAAACCTAACCATAACCCTAACCCTAACCCCTAAACCTAACCCTAGCCCTAACCCTAACCCTAACCCTAAACCCTAACCCTAACCATAACCCTAACCCCTAACCCTAACCCTAACCCTAGCCCTAAACCCTAACCCTAACCATAACCCTAACCCCTAACCCCTAAACCTAACCCTAACCCTAGCCCTAACCCTAACCATAACCCTAAACCCTAACCCTAACCCTAACCCCTAAACCTAACCCTAACCCTAGCCCTAACCCTAACCCTAACCCTAACCCCTAACCCTTAAACCTAACCCTAACCCTAACCCTAAACCCTAACCCTAACCCTAACCCTAAAATGTGCCTAAATAATCTACAAGATCAAGGTATTTTTAAATCTACCAGTTGGTGGTGAAACAAAAACGAAGATGTCTTTCTTTCCTTGGAAGTGGAAGGAATAACAAAAGCCCCAGGAGCAGGACTGAGGAGTCTCCCTGTCCAAGGAGCAGGACTGAGGAGTCTCCCTGTCCAAGTATCCATCTGTAGCTGGACAGTCAGCGTGTAGTACTCGGTAATATCCAGCAGGGGTCTCCCCCTCCCCATCCACCAGCCAGGTATATGAAGAGGTCCCTCTCTGACGGAGGAAAAGAGAAACCCTCTCGGGTTTGAAAGGGTTAGTTATCATAATCTTTGGCTCAGGGCTCCTCCTCCAGTCTGAACTGGGTTGTATTGACTAGGAACCAAACAGGGAGGGACTGTCTACCTGAACTTGTCCAATAAGAAACACTTGTTTTTGTTTTTTCTGTTGCAAAACATTTTGGTACGGCAGGTGTGCACTAATGAATATGTCCCTGGTGTGATTGATAGTTACTTAGCGGTGGGAGTCTCCCCCAGCCGGACGCTCCCCAGGAAGGAGGACAGTAGTGTGATTGGTCATGGAGCGCCAGGAAGGAGGTGTGATTGGTCAGGGGGAAACCCCCAGCCTGACGCTCCCCAGGAACGTAGTATGATTGGTCAGGAAGTCCCAGGAAGGAGGTGTGATTGATCAGGGAGCCCCAGGAAGTGGTGTCGTATTGGTCATGGTCAGGGGGAGTCCCCCAGCCTGACGCTCCCCAGGAAGGTAGTATGATTGGTCATGCTGATCAGCGTGTCCTCATAGACCATCCTGATGGAGATCCTTTGCCCCGTCCTCAGCAGGCTGACCCCCGCCGTGTAACATGTGTTGAACTTCCTCTGACCCGTCTCCATGCTGCAGGTACAACGCAGGAAGGGGGTGGAGTCTACCATCACCTCGTAGCTGGCGATGTCCGTGAAGTTGAGATAGTACACCTGGGGAACAGAGGGAGAAGGAGAGAGACAAGTCCAAAGAGTTTACTAAAGTTTGCCAAAAAGCACCTGGATCATCAAGACTCTTTGAAGAACGTTCTATGGACAGATTAGTCAAAACTAGAACTTTTTGGACGACTTGGATCCCATTATGCCTGGCGAAAACCAAACACTGCATTCCACAGTAAGAACCTTATACCAACGGTCAAGCACGGTGGTGGTGGTGTGATGGTTTGGGGATGCTTTGCTGCCTCAGGACCTGGACGACTTGCCTTAATAGAAGGAACCATGAATTCTGCTCTGTATCAGAGAATTCTACAGGAGAATGTCAGACCATCCGTCTGCGAGCTGAAGCTGAAGCGCAGCTGGGTCATGCAGCAAGACAATGATCCAAAACACAATCAAGTCTACATGAAAATGGCTAAGAAGCAAAAAAAAATACGTTTTGGAATGGCCTAGTCAAAGTCCAGAACTAATCCCAATTGAGGTGTTGTAGCAGGACTTGAAACGAGCAGTTCATGCTTCAAAACCCACAAATGTCGCTGAGTTAAAGCAGTTCTGCATGGAAGAGTGGGCCAAAATTCCTCCACAGCGACGTGAGAGACTGATCAACAACTACAGGAAGCATTTGGTTGGGAGTCATTGCAGCTAAAGGTGGCACAACCAGTTATTGAGTGTAAGGGGGCAATTACTTTTTTTACACAGGGGCATTGGGTATTGCATTACTTTTTTTAATGAAATAAATATGTAATTGTTGTGTTATTTGTTCCCTCAGGTTCCCTTTATCTAATATTAGGTTTTGGTTGAAGATCTGATAACATTCAGTATCAAACAAAGGCAGAGAACATTAGAAAGGGGACAGCTCTGAATGGTCTGTCACTCTATACAGTAGGGTTAGCACCTAGATACAACCCTCAGCTTCCCTGTCTCACACACTACCACTCAATAGGTTGGACACACCTACTCATTATTCAAGGGTTTTTCTTTATTTTTACTATTATCTATATTGTAGAATAATAGTGAAGACATCAAAACTATGAAATAACACATATGGAATCATGTAGTAACCAAAAAAGTGTTAAACAAATCAAAATATATTTGAGATTCTTCAAAGTAGCCACCCTTTGCCTTGATGACAGCTTTGCACACTCTTGGCATTATCTCAACCAGCTTCATGAGGTAGTCACCTGGAATGCATTTCAATTAACAGGTGTGCCTTGTTAAAAGTTAATTTGTGGAATTTATTTCCTTCTTAATGCGTTTGAGCCAATCAGTTGTGTTGTGACAAGGTAGGGGGGGTATATAGAAGATAGCCCTATTTGGTAAAAGACCAAGTCCATATTATGGCAAGAACAGATCAAATAATCAAAGAGAAACGACAGTCCATCATTACTTTAAGACATGAAGGTCAGTCAATACGGAAAACGTCAAGAACTTTGAACGTTTCTTCAAGTGCAGTCGCAAAAACCATCAAGCGCTATGATGAAACTGGCTCTCATGAGGACCGCCACAGGAATGGAAGACCCAGAGTTACCTCTGCTGCAGAGGATAAGTTAATTAGAGTTAACTGCACCTCAGATTGCAGCCCAAATAAATGCTTCACAGAGTTCAAGTAACAGACACATCTCAACATCAACTGTTCAGAGGAGACTGCGTGAATCAGGCCTTCATGGTCGAATTGCTGCAAAGAAACCACTACTAAAGGACACCAATAAGAAGAAGAGACTTGCTTGAGACAAGAAACACGAGCAATTGACATTAGACCGGTGGAAATCTGTCCTTTGGTCTGATGAGTCCAAATGTGAGATTTTTGGTTCTTTGTGAGACGCAGAGTAGGTGACCGGATGATCTCTCCATGTGTGGTTCCCACTGTAAAGCATGGAGGAGGAGGTGTTATGGTGCTTTGCTGGTGACACTGTCTGTGATTTATTTAGAATTCAAGGCACACTTAACCAGCATGGCTACCACAGCATTCTGCAGCAATACGCCATCCCATCTGGTTTGGGCTTAGTGGGACTATCATTTGTTTTTCAACAGGACAATGACCCAAAACACACCTCCAGGCTGTGTAAGGGCTATTTGACCAAGGAGAGTGATGGAGTGCTGCATCAGATGACCTGGCCTCCACAATCACCCGACCTCAACCCAATTGAGATGGTTTGAGATGAGTTGGACCGCAGAGTGAAAAGCAGCCAACAAGTGCTCAGCATATGTGGGAACTCCTTCAAGACTGTTGGAAAAGCATTCATCATGAAGCTGGTTGAGAGAATGCCAAGAGTGTGCAAAGCTGCCATCAAGGCAAAAGGGGGGCTACTTTGAAGAATCTGAAATATATTTTGATTTGTTTAACACTTTTTTGGTTACTACATGATTCCATATGTGTTATTTCATAGTTTTGATGTCTTCACTATTATTCTACAATATAGATAATAGTAAAAATAAAGAAAAACCCTTGAATAATGAGTAGGTGTGTCTAAACTTTTGACTGGAACTGTTTATCTACCTCAATTACCTCGTACAAATTCATATCGACTAGGTACTGGTACTTCCTGTATATAGCCATGTTATTACCTGGTACTCCCTGTAGATACATTACCTGGTACTTCCATGGTACTTCCCTTTTTAAACCATGGTTTACTGGTACTTTCCCTGTATATGCCATGGTATTACCGGTACTTCCTGTAATGCCTTTTGACCTGTTTTCCTGTATATAGCCATTTATTACCTGGTCCCTCCCTTTTAAAATACCCCTGTTTGACCTGGTTTTTTCCTTATATAGCCATTTATGCCCTGGTATTTCCCTGAAATTAGCCGGGTATTACCTGGTACTTCCTGTATTAGCCGTTATACCGGTATTTTTTCCCTTAAATTAGCCGGTTTCCCCTGGTATTCCTGTATATACCCCTTTATGACCTGGTACTTTTCCTTATAAGCCATGGTATACCTTACTTCTTATATGCCTTTATACCGGTATTTTCCTGTTATACCTGTTTCCCCTGGTCCCTTCCTGATATAGCCTTTTTACCTGGACTTCCTGTATATAGCCATGGTTTACCTGGTACTTCCTTTTAGCCATTTGACCTGGTACTTCCTGTATAAGCCATTTTAACCTGTACTTCCGTTATGCCATTTATGACCTGGTATTCCTGTTTAGCCATTTTTTTACCTGGTACTCCCGTATATACCCTGTTATGACCGGGTACTTCCTGTATATAGCCATTTATGACCTGGTACTTCCTGATTAGCCATGGTATTCCCCCGGGTACTTCCTGTATAACCTTTTTATGACCTGGTATTTCCTTTATAGCCGGATTTACCGGGTATTTCCTTTTAATAGCCATGTTATACCTGGAAACTTCCTTTATTAGCCAGGTTTTACCGGTATTTTCCTTATATCCCCATGTTAGACCGGTATTTTTCCTTATAGCCATGGTTACCGGGTACTTCCTGTATATACCATTTATTACCTGGTATTTTTCCTGTATAGCCTGTTTGGACCGGGTCTTCCTTATATACCTTTTAGACCGGGTACTTCCTTTTAGCCATGTATCCCGGTACTCCTGTATATGCCTGGTTTACCTGGTACTTCCCTGTATATAGCCATGGTATTACCGGTACTTCCGTATTACCATGTTATTACCGGGTCTTCCTGTAAAGCCATGTTATACCTGGTCTTCCTTATTAGCCATGTTATGACCTGGTATTTTTCCTGTATTAGCCTTTATGACCTGGTATTTCCTGTATATGCCATGGTATTACCTGGTACTTCCCTGTATTAGCCATGGTTTTACCTTACTTCCGTATATGCCATTTTTACCTGGTACTCCCTTAATAACCATGTTTTACCTGGTACTCTCTGTATATACCATGTTTTTACCGGGTCCTCTGTTATAGCCAGTTTTCCCGGGTACCCTGAAATATAGCCATGTTATTTGACTGGTTCCTTTTATTCACTGTGTATTTATTTAGGTCATTCTATCTATTTTTTTGTTTTTAATCTTTTTTTAACCTCTGCATTTTTGGGAAAAAGGCCTTTAAAGGGAAGAAATTTTTCTGTTGTCTAACCGTTGTTTACCAGTTGTGACAAATACCATTTTATTTTATTTACTATAGTAGAGTTGTAGTATTACTGTAGTAGAGTTGTAGTATTACTGTAATAGAGTTGCAGTATTACTGTAGTAGAGTTGTAGTATTACTGTAGTAGAGTCACTACTCACTTCTACCTGACTATATATGAAGTAGACAGACTGTAGTATTAGTAGTATATAGTATTATTGTAGTAGTCACTACTCACTTCTACCTGACTATATATGAAGTAGACAGACTGTAGTATTAGTAGTATATAGTATTATTGTAGTAGTCACTACTCACTTCTACCTGACTATATATGAAGTAGACAGACTGTAGTATTAGTAGTATATAGTATTATTGTAGTAGTCACTACTCACTTCTACCTGACTATATATGAAGTAGACAGACTGTAGTATTAGTAGTATATAGTATTATTGTAGTACTCACTACTCACTTCTACCTGACTATATATGAAGTAGACAGACTGTAGTATTAGTAGTATATAGTATTATTGTAGTAGTCACTACTCACTTCTACCTGACTATATATGAAGTAGACAGACTGTAGTATTAGTAGTATATAGTATTATTGTAGTAGTCACTACTCACTTCTACCTGACTATATATGAAGTAGATGCCGTCTAGTAGGACCTCCAGTTCCCCGGAGCGAGAGTGCATCTTGAAGACACGGTGGTGGATCGACACCATCTTCCAGTTCCTCAGAACACCTTCAGACAGGTCTACACAAAGACATCAATCAATCAATCAATCAATCAAATAGTCAATCAATCAGTCAATCAGTCAATCAATTAATCAGTCAGTCAATCAGTCAATCAATTAGTCAATCAATTAGTCAATAAATCAGTCAGTCAATCAATCAGTCAGTCAGTCAGTCAGTCAATATATCAATCAGTCAGTCAGTCAATCAGTCAGTCAATCAATCAATCAGTCAATCAATCAATCATGTGGGAAAAGGCAGTCAAACAACCAGAGTACCTCTGAACAGGAGTATATTCACCCCTATAGTCCTAGAGTATTGAATGTAGATAATACCGCTGGACACTCACCCTCCCTGACCTGTATGGTGGTCTCCTGTCCCTGTAGATGCACCGCAGCAGGCTGCGGCAACACATCAGATACAGGACATCATTTCCACAGCATTACTCCAACCTGCATTGTTGTTCAGTACAATAATAAGGCATGTAATAATGTGTTGTGGTGTTTAATTAAAGATGAGATACTCTACCTGGAATTCTCTTGTTTTGGTTTTATCGACGACCCCTGAAACAAGAGACAGATAGAATCAGATCCTGGATCAGTTCCTAACTCTAAGTCCGTCCCAAATGGCACCCTATTCCCTGTATAGTGCACTACATTTGACCAGCGGCCAACAAAAGTAATGCACTATACAGGGAATAGAAGGTACCATTTGGGATGCCCCCGAACCCAAACTTCAGGCAGGAGAAAAAATGAGAAAACCTGATCAAAACCAAGCAGCATAGTTCACCATGATCACATGATCCAACACTGTGACAGTGATGCATCACATGATCAAACACTGTTTGACAGTTCGCAGGAAAAATAGCTAAATATGGTAGCATTCTCATGCAAATCTAGGCTACATTTCCTGTTGACATCATTGCATGATTTACATCAAAGTCAGTTAGGATATGTTTGCCCTTGATGTAAATGTTATTTCTCTTGTAATGTGAAAGGTAGTTCATTCTGACAATTCCATTTCTCAGCCATTTTGGAAGCATAAAATGCGTCCGAAACGACAATCTATTTCCTGTGTAGTGCACTGCTTTTAACCAGGGCCCATAGAGTTAGGGCCCATAGAGTTAGGGCCCATAGAGTTAGGGCCCATAGAGTTAGGGCCCATAGTGTTAGGGCCCATAGAGTTAGGGCCCATAGAGTTAGGGCCCATAGAGTTAGGGCCCATAGTGTTAGGGCCCATAGTGTTAGGGCCCATAGTGTTAGGGCCCATAGAGTTAGGGCCCATAGAGTTAGGGCCCATAGTTTTAGGGCCCATAGAGTTAGGGCCCATAGAGTTAGGGCCCATAGAGCTCTGGCCAAACGTAGTGCACTACACAGGGCAGGGTTTCCCAGCTCCAGTCCTCCAGTCCCCAACAGCCCATCTCCAGTCCTTCAGTCCTCAACAGCCCATCTCCAGTCCTCCAGTCCTCAACAGCCCATCTCCAGTCCTCCAGTCCTCAACAGCCCATCTCCAGTCCTCCAGTCCTCAACAGCCCATCTCCAGTCCCCAACAGCCCATCTCCAGTCCCCAACAGCCCATCTCCAGTCCTCCAGTCCTCAACAGCCCATCTCCAGTCCCCAACAGCCCATCTCCAGTCCTCCAGTCCTCAACAGCCCATCTCCAGTCCTCCAGTCCCCAACAGCCCATCTCCAGTCCTCCAGTCCTCAACAGCCCATCTCCAGTCCTCAACAGCCCATCTCCAGTCCTCCAGTCCCCAACAGCCCATCTCCAGTCCTCCAGTCCCCAACAGCCCATCTCCAGTCCTCCAGTCCCCAACAGCCCATCTCCAGTCCTCCAGTCCCCAACAGCCCACCTCCAGTCCTCCAGTCCCCAACAGCCCACCTCCAGTCCCCAACAGCCCATCTCCAGTCCTCCAGTCCCCAACAGCCCATCTCCAGTCCTCCAGTCCTCAACAGCCCAACTCCAGTCCTCCAGTACCCCAACAGCTCATCTCCAGTCCTCCAGTACCCCAAACAGCACAACTCCAGTACTCCAGTACCCCAACAGCCCAACTCCAGTCCTCCAGTACCCCCAACAGACCATCTCCAGTCCTCCAGTCCTCAACAGCCCAACTCCAGTCCTCCAGTACCCCAACAGCCCATCTCCAGTCCTCCAGTCCTCAACAGCCCAACTCCAGTTCTCCAGTACCCCAACAGCCCATCTCCAGTCCTCCAGTACCCCCAACAGCCCATCTCCAGTCCTCCAGTCCTCAACAGCCCATCTCCAGTCCCCAACAGCCCATCTCCAGTCCCCAACAGCCCATCTCCAGTCCTCCAGTCCTCAACAGCCCATCTCCAGTCCCCAACAGCCCATCTCCAGTCCTCCAGTCCTCAACAGCCCATCTCCAGTCCTCCAGTCCCCAACAGCCCATCTCCAGTCCTCCAGTCCTCAACAGCCCATCTCCAGTCCTCAACAGCCCATCTCCAGTCCCCAACAGCCCATCTCCAGTCCTCCAGTCCCCAACAGCCCATCTCCAGTCCTCCAGTCCCCAACAGCCCATCTCCAGTCCTCCAGTCCCCAACAGCCCACCTCCAGTCCTCCAGTCCCCAACAGCCCACCTCCAGTCCCCAACAGCCCATCTCCAGTCCTCCAGTCCCCAACAGCCCATCTCCAGTCCTCCAGTCCTCAACAGCCCAACTCCAGTCCTCCAGTACCCCAACAGCTCATCTCCAGTCCTCCAGTACCCCAAACAGCACAACTCCAGTACTCCAGTACCCCAACAGCCCAACTCCAGTCCTCCAGTACCCCCAACAGACCATCTCCAGTCCTCCAGTCCTCAACAGCCCAACTCCAGTCCTCCAGTACCCCAACAGCCCATCTCCAGTCCTCCAGTCCTCAACAGCCCAACTCCAGTCCTCCAGTACCCCAACAGCCCATCTCCAGTCCTCCAGTACCCCCAACAGCCCATCTCCAGTCCTCCAGTCCTCAACAGCCCAACTCCAGTCCTCCAGTACCCCAACAGCCCATCTCCAGTCCTCCAGTACCCCCAACAGCCCATCTCCAGTCCTCCAGTCCTCAACAGCCCATCTCCAGTCCCCAACAGCCCATCTCCAGTCCCCAACAGCCCATCTCCAGTCCTCCAGTCCTCAACAGCCCATCTCCAGTCCCCAACAGCCCATCTCCAGTCCTCCAGTCCTCAACAGCCCATCTCCAGTCCCCAACAGCCCATCTCCAGTCCTCCAGTCCTCAACAGCCCATCTCCAGTCCCCAACAGCCCATCTCCAGTCCTCCAGTCCTCAACAGCCCATCTCCAGTCCTCCAGTCCCCAACAGCCCATCTCCAGTCCTCCAGTCCTCAACAGCCCATCTCCAGTCCTCCAGTCCTCAACAGCCCAACTCCAGTCCTCCAGTACCCCAACAGCCCATCTCCAGTCCTCCAGTACCCCCAACAGCCCATCTCCAGTCCTCCAGTCCTCAACAGCCCAACTCCAGTCCTCAACAGTACACACTGTTGTTGTAGCCTTGGACAACCTCACCTGATTCAACTCATTGAGGGCCTGATGATTAGTTGATATTTTGAATCAGGTGTGTTTGTCCGGGGTTACAATAAAAAGGTGTACTGTTGGGGTTACTGGAGGACTGGAGCTGGGAAACACTGCCCTGTGAAATAGGGGGACAGTCCTGTTGGGGTTCCTGGGGGACTGGAGTTGGGAAACACTGCCCTGTGAAATAGGGGGACAGTCCTGTTGGGGTTCCTGGGGGACTGGAGCTGGGAAACACTGCCCTGTGAAATAGGGGGACAGTCCTGTTGGGGTTCCTGGAGGACTGGAGTTGGGAAACACTGCCCTGTGAAATAGGGGGACAGTCCTGTTGGGGTTCCTGGAGGACTGGAGTTGGGAAACACTGCCCTGTGAAATAGGGGGACAGTCCTGTTGGGGTTCCTGGGGGACTGGAGTTGGGAAACACTGCCCTGTGAAATAGGGGGACAGTCCTGTTGGGGTTCCTGGGGGACTGGAGCTGGGAAACACTGCCCTGTGAAATAGGGGGACAGTCCTGTTGGGGTTCCTGGGGGACTGGAGCTGGGAAACACTGCCCTTGAAATAGGGGGACAGTCCTGTTGGGTCCTGGGGACTGGAGCTGGACAACAACTGCCCTGTGAAATAGGGGGACAGTCCTGTTGGGGTTCCTGGGGGACTGGGAGCTGGGAAACACTGCCCTGTGAAATAGGGGGACAGTCCTGTTGGGGTTCCTGGGGCTGACTGGGGAAACACTGCCTGTGAAATAGGGGACGTCACTTGGGTTACGGGGAGGCCACCTGGAGTTCTGGGAAACCATGCCTGTGAATCAGGGGGACATGTGAATAGGGGGACATTTCAAACACAGCCATAATATGACCAACCAATACGCTGTCTGTCTGTTCTCTCATCACCTGCCGGTCCCGTCAGCCCAGGGGGGCCCCTGTGGGCCAGAGGGTCCTGGGGGTCCAGCGGGGCCCACAGCGTTGCTACCAGGGATACCAGGGATGCCAGGTATACCCGGAGGCCCCTGTGGGCCTGGAGATCCAGGGGGACCAGGGGAGCCCTGAGCTCCTGGAGGAGACCTCTTCCTACCTGGGACACGGACACACAGAAACACATAATGAGTATCATTCATATTGTTATAGGAAAGAATATCTGGATATCTGGTGGCCAAAGTCAACTGACTGTTAACTAATGTCTGTAGATCAACTAATGCAGAGTTTCAACATAACGGGAGGCTCATTCAGAAGTCGGAACATACTCGGATTCACAGAGGAGGCAACATTACAGAGGCTCAGAGGAGGAAACATTACAGGAGGCCCAGAGGAGGAAACATTACAGAGGCTCAGAGGAGGAAACATTACAGAGGCTCGGAGGAGGAAACATTACAGGAGGCTCAGAGGAGGAAACATTACAGAGGTTCAGAGGAGGAAACATTACAGAGGTTCAGAGGAGGAAACATTACAGAGGTCAGGAGGAAACATTACGGGAGCTCGAGGAGGAACATTACAGGAGGCTCAGAGGAGGAAACATTACAGGAGGCTCAGAGGGAGGAAACATTACAGAGGCTCAGAGGAGGAAACCATTACAGAGGCACGGAGGAGGAAACATTACAGGAGGCTCAGAGGAGGAAACATTACAGAGGCTCAGAGGAGGAAACATTACAGGAGCTCAGAGGAGGAAACTCAGAGGCTCAGAGGAGGAAACATTACAGAGGTCAGAGGAGGAGGAGAACATTACAGGAGGCTCAGAGGAGGAAACTACAGAGGCTCAGAGGAGGAAACATTACAGGAGGCCCAGAGGAGGAAACATTACAGAGGATCAGAGGAGAAACCTTACAGAGGCTCAGGAGGAGGGAAACATTACAGGAGCTCAGAGGAGGAAACATTACAGAGGCTCAGAGGAGGACAACAGAGGACTCAGAGGAGGGGAAACATTACAGAGGCTCGAGGAGGAAACATTACAGGAGGCTCAGAGGAGGAAATAGAGACTCAGAGGAGGAAACATTACAGAGGCTCAGAGGAGGAAACATTACAGGAGGCTCAGAGGAGGAAACATTACAGAGGCTCAGAGGAGGAACATTACAGAGGCTCAGAGGAGGAAACATTACAGAGGCTCAGAGGAGGAAACATTACAGGAGGCCCAGAGGAGGAAACATTACAGAGGATCAGAGGAGGAAACATTACAGAGGCTCAGAGGAGGAAACATTAAAGGAGGCTCAGAGGAGGAAACTTACAGAGGATCAGAGGAGGAAACATTACAGGAGGCCAGAGGAGGAAACATTTAAAGAGGCTCAGAGGAGGAAACATTACAGAGCTCAGAGGAGGAAACATTAAGGAGGCTCAGGAGGAGGAAACAGAGGCTCAGAGGAGGAAACATTACAGAGGATCAGAGGAGGAACATTACAGAGGTCAGAGGAGGAAAACAGAGGCTCAGGGGGAAACATTAAGGAGGCCAGAGGAGGAAACATTACAGAGGCTCAGAGGAGGAAACATACGGAGGCTCAGAGGAGGAACATTACAGAGGACTCAGAGGAGGAAACATTACAGGAGGCTCAGAGGAGGAAACCAGAGGCTCAGAGGCATGGAAACATTACAGGAGGCCAGAGGAGGAAAACTTTACAGAGGTCAGAGGAGGAAACATTACAGAGGCTCGAGGAGGACACCTTACAGGAGGCTCAGAGGAGGAAACATGAGGCCAGAGGAGGAACATCAGGAGGCCCGAGGGGAAAATTACAGGAGGCTCAGAGGAGGAAACATTACAGAGGCTCAGAGGAGGAAAACATTAAGGAGGCTCAGAGGAGGAAACATTACAGAGGCTCGAGGAGGAAACATTACAGGAGGCTCAGAGGAGGAAACAGAGGCTCAGAGGAGGAAACATTACGGGAGGTTCAGAGGGGGGAAACATTACAGAGGTCAGAGGAGGAAACATTACAGGAGGCTCGAGGAGAGGGGGGAACATTACAGGAGGCTCAGAGGAGGAAACTTACAGGAGGCTCAGAGGAGGAACTTACAGAGGCTCAGAGGAGGAAACATTACAGAGGCCAGAGGAGGAAACATTACAGAGGCTCAGAGGAGGAAACATTACAGGAGGCCCAGAGGAGTGAAACATTACAGAGGCTCAGAGGAGGAAACATTACAGGAGGCCCAGAGGAGGAAACATTACAGAGGGATCAGAGGAGGAAAACATTACAGGAGGCCAGAGGAGGAAACCCATTACAGAGGCTCAGAGGAGGAAACATTACAGAGGTCAGAGGAGGAAACATTACAGAGGCTCAGAGGAGGAACATTACGGGAGGCCCAGAGGAGGAAACATTACAGGAGGCTCAGAGGAGGAAACATTACAGAGGCTCAGAGGAGGAAACATTACAGGAGGCTCAAGAGGAAACATTACAGGAGGTTCAGAGAGGAACCTTACAGAGGCTCAGAGGAGGAAACATTACAGAGGCTCAGAGGAGGAAACATTACAGAGGCTCAGAGGAGGAAACAGAGGCTCAGAGGAGGAAACATTACAGGAGGCCCAGAGGAGGAAACATTACAGAGGCTCGGGAGAGGAAACATTACAGGAGGCCAGAGGAGGAAACATTACAGAGGCTCAGAGGAGGAAACAGAGGCTAAGAGGAGGAAACATTACAGGAGGCATGGAGGAGGAAACATTACAGAGGCTCAGAGGAGGAAACATTACAGGAGGCCCAGAGGAGGAAACATTACAGAGGCTCAGAGGAGGAAACATACAGGAGGGCCCAGAGGGGGAGGAAAACATTACAGGAGGCTCAGAGGAGGGAAACATTACAGAGGCTCAGAGGAGGGAAACATTACAGGAGGCTCAGAGGAGGAAACATTACAGGAGGATCAGAGAGGAAACATTACAGGAGGCTCGGAGGAGGAAACATTACAGAGGATCAGAGGAGGAAACAGAGGCTCAGAGGAGGAAACATTACAGAGGCTCAGAGGATGGAGGAAACATTACAGGAGGCTCAGAGGAGGAAACATTACAGAGGCTCAGAGGAGGGAAACATTACAGGAGGCTCAGCGGAGGAGGAAACATTACAGAGGATCAGAGGAGGGAAACATTACGGAGGCTCAGAGGAGGAAACAGAGGCTCAGAGGAGGAAACATTACAGAGGTTCAGAGGAGGAAACATTACAGAGGTTCAGAGGAGGAAACATTACAGAGGCTCAGAGGAGGAAACATTACAGGAGGCTCAGAGGAGGAAACATTACAGAGGATCAGAGGAGGAAACATAAGGAGGCCAGAGGAGGAAACATTACAGGAGGCTCAGAGAAGGAAACATTACAGAGGTCAGAGGAGGAACATTACAGGGGTCTCAGAGGAGGAAACATTACAGAGGCTCGGAGGAGGAAACATTACAGAGGGTCAGAGGAGGAAACATTACAGGAGGCTCATAGGAGGAAACATTACAGGAGGCTCAGAGGAGGAAACATTACAGGAGGCTCAGAGGAGGAAACATTACAGGAGGCTCAAAGAAGGAAACATTACAGGAGGTTCAGAGTAGGAACCTTACAGAGGCTCAGAGGAGGAAACATTACAGAGGCTCAGAGGAGGAGGAAACATTACAGAGGCTCAGAGGAGGAAACAGAGGCTCAGAGGAGGAAACATTACAGGAGGCCAGAGAAGGAAACATTACAGAGGCTCAGAGGAGGAAACATTACAGGAGGCCAAAGAGAGGAAACATACAGGAGGCCAGAGGAAGGAAACACAGAGGCTCAGAGGACAACATTACAGGAGGCCCAGAGGAGGAAACATTAACGGAGGCTCAGAGGAGGAAACTACAGGAGGCTTCAGAGGAGAACACATTACAGAGGCTTCAAGAGGAAAACATTACAGGAGGCGTCAGAGGAGGAAACATTACAGGAGGCTCAGAGGAGGAAACATTACAGGCTCAGAGGAGGAAAAATAAGGAGGCTCAGAGGAGGAAACAGAGGCTCAGAGGAGGAAACATTACAGAGGATCAGAGGAAGAAACATTACAGGAGGCTCAGAGGAGGAAACAGAGGCTCAGAGGAGGAAACATTACAGGAGGCCCAGAGGAGGAAACATTACAGAGGATCAGAGGAGGAAACATTACAGAGGATCAGAGGAGGAAACATTACAGGAGGCTCAGAGGAGGAAACAGAGGCTCAGAGGAGGACAATTACAGAGGCCCAGGGAGGAAACATTACCAGAGGATCAGAGGAGGAAACATTACAGAGGCTCAGAGGAGGAAACATTAAAGGAGGCTCAGAGGAGGAAACATTACAGAGGATCAGAGGAGGAAACATTACAGGAGGCTCAGAGGAGGAAACAGAGGCTCAGAGGAGGAAACATTACAGAGGATCAGAGGAGGAAACATTACAGGAGGCCCAGAGGAGGAAACAGAGGCTCAGAGGAGGAAACATTACAGAGATTCAGAGGAGGAAACAGAGGATCAGAGGAGGAAACATTACAGGAGGCTCAGAGGAGGAAACAGAGGCTCAGAGGAGGAAACATTACAGGAGGCCCAGAGGAGGAAACATTACAGAGGATCAGAGGAGGAAACATTACAGAGGCTCAGAGGAGGAAACATTAAAGGAGGCTCAGAGGAGGAAACATTACAGAGGCTCAGAGGAGGAAACATTACAGAGGATCAGAGGAGGAAACATTACAGGAGGCTCAGAGGAGGAAACAGAGGCCCAGAGGAGGAAACATTACAGAGATTCAGAGGAGGAAACAGAGGATCAGAGGAGGAAACATTACAGAGGCTCAGAGGAGGAAACATTACAGGAGGCTCAGAGGAGGAAACAGAGGCTCAGAGGAGGAAACATTACAGAGGTTCAGAGGAGGAAACATTACAGAGGTTCAGAGGAGGAAACAGACGCTCAGAGGAGGAAACATTACAGGAGGCTCAGAGAAGGAAACATTACAGGAGGTTCAGAGGAGGAACCTTTACAGAGGCTCAGAGGAGGAAACATTACAGAGGCTCAGAGGAGGAAACATTACAGAGGCTCAGAGGAGGAAACAGAGGCTCAGAGGAGGAAACATTACAGGAGGCCCAGAGGAGGAAACATTACAGAGGCTCAGAGGAGGAAACATTACAGGAGGCCCAGAGGAGGAAACATTACAGGAGGCTCAGAGGAGGAAACAGAGGCTCAGAGGAGGAAACATTACAGGAGGCACGGAGGAGGAAACATTACAGAGGCTCAGAGGAGGAAACATTACAGGAGGCACAGAGGAGGAAACATTACAGAGGCTCAGAGGAGGAAACATTACAGAGGGTCAGAGGAGGAAACATTACAGGAGGCTCAGAGGAGGAAACATTACAGGAGGCTCAGAGGAGGAACATTACAGGAGGTTCAGAGGAGGAACCTTTACAGGAGGTTCAGAGGAGGAACCTTTACAGAGGCTCAGAGGAGGAAACATTAGAGGCTCAGAGGAGGAAACATTACAGAGGCTCAGAGGAGGAAACAGAGGCTCAGAGGAGGAAACATTACAGGAGGCCCAGAGGAGGAAACATTACAGGAGGCTCAGAGGAGGAAACAGAGGCTCAGAAGAGGAAACATTACAGGAGGCACGGAGGAGGAAACATTACAGAGGCTCAGAGGAGGAAACATTACAGGAGGCCCGGAGGAGGACACATTACAGGAGGCTCGGAGGAGGAAACATTACAGAGGCTCAGAGGAGGAAACATTACAGGAGGCCCAGAGGAGGAAACATTACAGGAGGCCCAGAGGAGGAAACATTACAGGAGGCCCAGAGGAGGAAGTCACCTTTCTTTCTTCTTCCTGTGTCTTTCCGTTTCCCAGGTGATTCTGAAGACAAACAGAACAACAGTGTTCTCAGACCAGAAGACTACATCAGGATGTGTGTGTCTGTGTGTGTGGTGTGTGTGGTGTGTGTGGTGTGTGTGTGTGGTGTGTGGTGTGTGTGTGTGGTGTGTGTGTGTGTGTGTGTGGTGTGTGTGGTGTGTGTGTGTGTGGTGTGTGTGGTCTGTGGTGTGTGTGTGTGGTGTGTGTGGTGTGTGTGGTGTGTGTGGTGTGTGTTGTGTGTGATCTGTGGTGTGTGTTGTGTGTGTGTGTGTGGTCTGTGGTGTGTGGTGTGTGGTCTGTGGTGTGTGGTGTGTGTGTGTGTGTGTGTGTGTGTGTGTGTGGTCTGTGGTGTGTGGTCTGTGGTGTGTGTGTGTGTGTGTGTGTGCAGGGATACAGTGGATCATTAGAGATACTTCTTCCTGCCAAAACACTGTCCTTTGGATTAGCCAGAGATGGGGAATGTAGCTATATGAAAGCGTGTGTGTTTATTCACGCATGCTAGTGGGGCATCACCAGCAATACTTATAAGACTAGCAACCCCCACTGGTCCAGTGTTCACCATGTCATTACAACCCCCACTGGTCCAGTGTTCACCATGTCATTACAACCCCCACTGGTCCAGTGTTCACCATGTCATTACAACCCCCACTGGTCCAGTGTTCACCATGTCATTACAACCCTTACTGGTCCAGTGTTCACCATGTCATTACAACCCCTACTGGTCCAGTGTTCACCATGTCATTACAACCCCTACTGGTCCAGTGTTCACCATGTCATTACAACCCCTACTGGTCCAGTGTTCACCATGTCATTACAACCCCTACTAGTCCAGTGTTCACCATGTCATTACAACCCCTACTGGTCCAGTGTTCACCTTGTCATTACAACCCCTACTGGTCCAGTGTTCACCATGTCATTACAACCCCTACTGGTCCAGTGTTCACCATGTCATTACAACCCCTACTGGTCCAGTGTTCACCATGTCATTACAACCCCTACTGGTCCAGTGTTCACCATGTCATTACAACCTCTACTGGTCCAGTGTTCACCATGTCATTACAACCCCTACTGGTCCAGTGTTCACCATGTCATTACAACCTCTACTGGTCCAGTGTTCACCATGTCATTAAAACCCCTACTGATCCAGTGTTCACCATGTCATTACAACCCCTACTGGTCCAGTGTTCACCATGTCATTACAACCCCTACTGGTCCAGTGTTCACCATGTCATTACAACCCCTACTGGTCCAGTGTTCACCATGTCATTACAACCCCTACTGGTCCAGTGTTCACCATGTCATTACAACCCCTACTGGTCCAGTGTTCACCATGTCATTACAAGCCCTACTGGTCCAGTGTTCACCATGTCATTACAAGCCCTACTGGTCCAGTGTTCACCATGTCATTACAAGCCCTACTGGTCCAGTGTTCACCATGTCATTACAAGCCCTACTGGTCCAGTGTTCACCATGTCATTACAACCTCTACTGGTCCAGTGTTCACCATGTCATTACAAGCCCTACTGGTCCAGTGTTCACCATGTCATTACAACCCCTACTGGTCCAGTGTTCACCATGTCATTACAACCCCTACTGGTCCAGTGTTCACCATGTCATTACAACCCCTACTGGTCCAGTGTTCACCATGTCATTACTACCCCTACTGGTCCAGTGTTCACCATGTCATTACAACCCCTACTGGTCCAGTGTTCACCATGTCATTACAACCCCTACTGGTCCAGTGTTCACCATGTCATTACAACCCCTACTGGTCCAGTGTTCACCATGTCATTACAACCCCTACTGGTCCAGTGTTCACCATGTCATTACAACCCCCACTGGTCCAGTGTTCACCATGTCATTACAACCCCTACTGGTCCAGTGTTCACCATGTCATTACAACCCCCACTGGTCCAGTGTTCACCATGTCATTACAAACCCCTACTGGTCCAGTGTTCACCATGTCATTACAACCCCTACTGGTCCAGTGTTCACCATGTCATTACAACCCCTACTGGTCCAGTGTTCACCATGTCATTACAAGCCCCTACTGGTCCAGTGTTCACCATGTCATTACAACCCCTACTGGTCCAGTGTTCACCATGTCATTACAACCCCTACTGGTCCAGTGTTCACCATGTCATTACAGCCCCTACTGGTCCAGTGTTCACCATGTCATTACAACCCCTACTGGTCCAGTGTTCACCATGTCATTACAACCCCTACTGGTCCAGTGTTCACCATGTCATTACAACCCCTACTGGTCCAGTGTTCACCATGTCATTACAACCTCTACTGGTCCAGTGTTCACCATGTCATTACAACCCCTACTGGTCCAGTGTTCACCATGTCATTACAACCTCTACTGGTCCAGTGTTCACCATGTCATTACAACCCCTACTGGTCCAGTGTTCACCATGTCATTACAACCTCTACTGGTCCAGTGTTCACCATGTCATTACAATCCCTACTGGTCCAGTGTTCACCATGTCATTACAACCCCTACTGGTCCAGTGTTCACCATGTCATTACAACCTCTACTGGTCCAGTGTTCACCATGTCATTACAACCCCCACTGGTCCAGTGTTCACCATGTCATTACAACCCCTACTGGTCCAGTGTTCACCATGTCATTACAACCCCTACTGGTCCAGTGTTCACCATGTCATTACAACCTCTACTGGTCCAGTGTTCACCATGTCATTACAACCCCTACTGGTCCAGTGTTCACCATGTCATTACAACCTCTACTGGTCCAGTGTTCACCATGTCATTACAACCCCTACTGGTCCAGTGTTCACCATGTCATTACAACCTCTACTGGTCCAGTGTTCACCATGTCATTACAACCCCTACTGGTCCAGTGTTCACCATGTCATTACAACCCCTACTGGTCCAGTGTTCACCATGTCATTACAACCTCTACTGGTCCAGTGTTCACCATGTCATTACAACCCCCACTGGTCCAGTGTTCACCATGTCATTACAACCCCTACTGGTCCAGTGTTCACCATGTCATTACAACCCCTACTGGTCCAGTGTTCACCATGTCATTACAACCTCTACTGGTCCAGTGTTCACCATGTCATTACAACCCCTACTGGTGTTTGTGTGTTTTTATACAACGGGTTGGTCTATTCCTGAATGCTGATTGGTTAAAACCGCATTCCAGCTGGTGTCTATTCCACATGTTACCACCGGCTAAATCTATTATGTTAAAATGCCTGTTTACTCTGTTCCATCTGACTGCGCAATCCACTGTCTCATCAGCCCAGCCAGGCAATTTATAAACTTGATCTCCACTATAAAAAGCATCTAGACGTTATCTGACATTTAGTTTAGACTAACATTTCGTTTTCAACAGTGGAGATTTGTATAAACCTTGCTGTCTGTCTCTCCGACATTTGCAACATTGTTTCAATATTCAAATCCGATCTCCAGCTGTCCCATAGTAATGAATGAGTCGGGACGAGACAGAATCAGCTGGCATCATTTTTATGGATATATACAAACAACTATCAATAGAAAACAGGTAAAATGAAACGAAGTGCAGCTAGTTTGCAGTCTTTCCAGCTTGTTTGAAGTGATTGTGTTACTGTAGCTGTGTTGTTGGCTAGCTCCTCTGAACAACAGTGTCCTGACCAGAGAGTACATTTTCTATGCCAGGCGAACTCAACTTCGTCTAGGGACTAACACCACCCAATATATCCTCCAAACACCGGCTTCTAGGTGTGTGTGCTGCTGAAGAGTGTGTTTGAAACAGCCGTCTGGCTGGTCCAGTGTTTACCATGTTATTACAACTACGAAGGCCACTTAACCTTCAAGCCTTACCATGAGTCCATCACAGACATGTGGCCCACATCTCTCCCCCATTCCTCCCCCATTCCTCCCCCATCTCTCCTCCATTCCTCCCATCTCTCCTCCATTCCTCACCAATTCCTCACCCATCTCTCCTCCATTCCTCACCCATCTCTCCTCCATTCCTCCCCCATCTCTCCTCCATTCCTCCCCATCTCTCCTCCATTCCTCCCCCATCTCTCCTCCATTCCTCCCCCATCTCTCCTCCATTCCTCCCCCATCTCTCCTCCATTCCTCCCCCATCTCTCCTCCATTCCTCCCCCATCTCTCCTCCATTCCTCCCCCATCTCTCCTCCATTCCTCCTCCATCTCTCCTCCATTCCTCACCCATCTCTCCCCCCGTTCCTCACCCATCTCTCCTCCATTCCTCCCCATCTCTCCTCCATTCCTCACCCATCTCTCCTCCATTCCTCCCCCATCTCTCCTCCATTCCTCCCCCATCTCTCCTCCATTCCTCCTCCATCTCTCCTCCATTCCTCACCCATCTCTCCCCCGTTCCTCACCCATCTCTCCTCCATTCCTCACCCATCTATCCCCCGTTCCTCACCCATCTCTTCTCCGTCCTGTAACCACCAGCTTAAAGGAATGTTCTGTAGTCACCAGGCTGCACGTGTTACTCCCTGAGACCGACAACTTCAAAGACCCAAGGCTTTTTTGATTTACATAGCTCACATTCTAAACAACGAGTACAAAAGCAAAGCTGTGCATATTGAGCACTACAGATGGCGGTTTTGTCTGATCTATTGATGAGCGATAAATCATATCAGTGAAATTAATGAAACATATCAATATGTCAAAGCCTGATACGTCCTCTAAGACAGTCGCCTGGTACGTCCTCTAAGACAGTCACCTGTGTACAGTGAGGGAAAAGTATTTGATCCCCTGCTGATTTTGTACGTTTGCCCACTGACAAAGAAATGATCAGTCTATAATTTTAATGGTAGGTTTATTTGAACAGTGAGAGACAGAATAACAAAACAAAAATCCAGAAAAACGCATGTCAAAAATGTTATAAATTTATTTGCATTTTAATGAGGGAAATAAGTATTTGACCCCTCTGCAAAACATGACTTAGTACTTGGTGGCAAAACCCTTGTTGGCAATCACAGAGGTCAGATGTTTCTTGTAGTTGGCCACCAGGTTTGCACACATGTCAGGAGGGATTTTGTTCCACTCCTCTTTGCAGATCTTCTCCAAGTCATTAAGGTTTCGAGGCTGACGTTTGGCAACTCGAACCTTCAGCTCCCTCCACAGATGTTCTATGGGATTAAGGTCTGGAGACTGGCTAGGCCACTCCAGGACATTAATGTGCTTCTTCTTGAGCAACTCCTTCGTTGCCTTGGCTGTGTGTTTTGGGTCATTGTCATGCTGGAATACCCATCCACGACCCATTTTCAATGCCCTGGCTGAGGGAAGGAGGTTCTCACCCAAGATTTGATGGTACATGGCACCGTCCATCGTCGCTTTGATGCAGTGAAGTTGTCCTGTCCCCTTAGCAGAAAAACACCCCCAAAGCATAATGTTTTCACCTCCATGTTTGAGGGTGGGGATAGTGTTCTTGGGGTCATAGGCAGCATTCCTCCTCCTCCAAACATGGCGAGTTGAGTTGTTGCCAAAGAGCTCCATTTTGGTCTCATCTGACCACAACATTTTCACCCAGTTCTCCTCTGAAACATTCAGATGTTCATTGGCAAACTTCAGACGGGCATGTATATGTGCTTTCTTGAGCAGGGGGACCTTGCGGGCGCTGCAGGATTTCAGTCCTTCACGGCGTAGTGTGTTACCAATTGTTTTCTTGGTGACTATGGTCCCAGCTGCCTTGAGATCATTGACAAGATCCTCCCGTGTAGTTCTGGGCTGATTCCTCACCGTTCTCATGATCATTGCAACTCCACGAGGTGAGATCTTGCATGGAGCCCCAGGCCAAGGGAGATTGACAGTTATTTTGTGTTTCTTCCATTTGCGAATAATCGCACCAACTGTTGTCACCTTCTCACCAAGCTGCTTGGCGATGGTCTTGTAGCCCATTCCAGCCTTGTGTAGGTCTACAATCTTGTCCCTGACATCCTTGGAGAGCTCTTTGGTCTTGGCCATGGTGGAGAGTTTGGAATCTGATTGATTGATTGCTTCTGTGGACAGGTGCCTTTTATACAGGTAACAAACTGAGATTAGGAGCACTCCCTTTAAGAGTGTGCTTCTAATCTCAGCTCATTACCTGTATAAAAGACACCTGGGAGCCAGAAATCTTTCTGATTGAGAGGGGGTCAAATACTTATTTCCCTCATTAAAATGCAAATCAATGTATAACATTTTTGACATGCGTTTTTCTGGATTTTTTTGTTGTTATTCTGTCTCTCACTGTTCAAATAAACCTACCATTAAAATGATAGACTGATCATTTCTTTGTCAGTGGGCAAACATACAAAATCAGCAGGGGATCAAATACTTTTACCCTCACTGTAGTTGGTTGAGCTGAAGCCCATACCTGAGTCAAATTGCTTCCTTGGACTCCGTTTGGCTCTGGGGGGTCTGCTGCTGTCCCCTGGGGCTGTGGGGGGGCTGGTGCTGTCCCCTGGGGCTGTGGGGGTGCTGGTGCTGTCCCCTGGGGCTGTGGGGGGTCTGCTGCTGTCCCCTGGGGCTGTGGGGGGTCTGGTGGGGTGGCCATCAGGTTGTCTGTGGAGTAACCTCTCCTGTTGAAACAGAAACATAACACTGTTCAGGATAGCAATATTTAAGCCTACCCCTGTTCAAATGAATGGACTGCCTTATGAAGTCTTCCTTAGTCAGTGACATTGTTGACGATATAATATACCATTTTGACGTAGTAATTGTATGGTAATAAATCAAATCATCAAATTGTATTTGTCACATGCTTCGTAGACTAACAGTGAAATGCTTTACTACTTTCCAACCCCACCACCCCTTCCCTAATTGGAGTAAACTAGTGAACAACAATGCTTAGGCCTCTACTTCCAGCTTATACATACTATATATATTTAATGGACACAGTCAATTTTACAATAATTATATTTTGTTTGTTTTTACTCCTGAACTTCTTCTACTCTCAACCTCTCTGATCATTTTCATGATGTCCGTCCGGTTTGCTTCTATATGCCATATCTTTCTAACTGTGCTATTTCACAAAAGTTCTCAACCTATAACCTATATACTTATTATGGACACAGTATGCTTTACATTAGATAAATGCTTACTTATGGGTCCTTTTCCAGCAATAAAGAGCTTTAAAAAAATTATGAAATAGAATGGGAGAAACTCCCCAAATAAAGGTGTGCCAAGCTTGTAGCGTCATACCCAAGAAGACTCGAGGCTGTAATCGCTGCCAAAGGTGCTTCAACAAAGTACTGAGTAAAGGGTCTGAATACTTCTGTAAATGTTATATTTCTGTTTTTTAATACATTTGCAAAAATGTCTAAAAACCTGCTTTTGCTTTTTCATTATGGGGTATTGTGTGTAGATTGATGAGGGGAAAAAACGATTTAATCCATTTTATAATAAGGCTGTAATGTAACAAACTTTAGAGAAAGTCAAGGGGTCTGAATACTTCCCGAATGCACTGTATGTGGCGAGTGTGAAAGTTTGTGTGTGTGTGGCGTCAGTATGCATGTGTGTGCATGTTATGTGTGAGTGTGTTGGGGTGTCAGTGTAACTATGTGTGGGTTGAGTCCAGTGTGTGGGTAGAGTCCAGTGTGAGGGTAGAGTCCAGTGTGTGGGTAGAGTCCAGTGTGTGGTAGAGTCCAGTGTGTGGGTAGAGTCCAGTGTGTGGTAGAGTCCAGTGAGTGGGTAGAGTCCAGTGTGTGGGTAGAGTCCAGTGTGTTGGTAGAGTCCAGTGTGTGGGTAGAGTCCAGTGTGTGGGTAGAGTCCAGTGTGTGGATAGAGTCCAGTGTGTGGGTAGAGTCCAGTGTGTGGGTAGAGTCCAGTGAGTGGGTAGAGTCCAGTGTGTGGGTAGAGTCCAGTGTGTGGGTAGAGTCCAGTGTGTGGGTAGAGTCCAGTGTGTGGGTAGAGTCCGGTGTGGAGGTAGAGTCCGGTGTGAGGGTAGAGTCCAGTGTGTGGTAGAGTCCAGTGTGTGGTAGAGTCCAGTGGGTGGGTAGAGTCCAGTGTGTGGGTAGAGTCCAGTGTGTGGGTAGAGTCCAGTGTGGGGGTAGAGTCCAGTGTGTGTGCATAGAGTCAGTGCAAGGGAGTTAGTGCAAAAAAGGGCCAATGCAGGTGGTCCGGGTAGCCATTTGATTAGCCATTTAGCCGTCTTGTTTAGAAGTCTTATGCTTGGGGGTAGAAGCTGTTCAGGGCCTAGTTGGTTCCAGACTTGGTGCCCCGGTACCGCTTGCCGTGCGGTCGCAGAGAGAACAGTCTGTGGCTTGGATGGCTGGAGTCTTTAACCATTTGTTGGGCCTTCCTCTGACACCGCCTGGTATAGAGGTCCTGGATGGCAGGAAGCTCGGCCCCTGTGATGTACTGGGCCATACGCACTACCCTCTGTAGCGCCTTGCGGTCGGATGCCGAGCAGTTGCCATTCAAAATGGTGATGCAGCCAATCAAGATGCTCTCGATGGTGCAGCTGTATAACTTTTTGAGGATCTGAGGGCCCATGCCAAATCTTTTCAGCCTCCTGAGGGGAAAGAGGCGTTGTCGTGACCTCTTCACGACTGTGTTGGTGTATTTGGACCATGATAGATCCTTAGTGATGTGAACACCGAGGAACTTGGAGCTCTCTACCCGCTCCACTACAGCCCTGTCGATGTGAATGGGGGCGTGGTCGGCCCTCCGTTTCCTGTAGTCCATATAGAAATCTATAATTTATCGCTCTCACTTTCTGTCCATTAAGAACCAATGATGTGCTACCTTTTTTAATACCTTTGGCATTTACCATTGAGTGAGAGTGAGTGACAGATTAGTATTGTATTGGTTGAAGCTTAATGTTAAATTAACATCTCCCATATCTAAGCCAACATGACACCAATGTCAATTAGAATTCGCAACTTCAACCACATACTGGATTTAGCCATTTTCTGTGCCTACCTTGGTAAAATTCTCAGATTAAAACAAGACTATAGCGTCCATACATTGAGTGTATAAAACATTAGGAACACCTTCATAATATTGAGTTGCACCCCCTTTTGCCCTCAGAACAGCCTGCTACCCAGCTGGCCCTAACATTAACTAAGACATGCTACCCAGCTGGCCCTACATTAACTAAGACATGCTACCCAGCTGGCCCTACATTAACTAAGACATGCTACCCAGCTGGCCCTAACATTAACTAAGACATGCTACCCAGCTGGCCCTACATTAACTAAGACATGCTACCCAGCTGGCCCTAACATTAACTAAGACATGCTACCCAGCTGGCCCTAACATTAACTAAGACATGCTACCCAGCTGGCCTTAACATTAACTAAGACATGCTACCCAGCTGGCCCTAACATTAACTAAGACATGCTACCCAGCTGGCCCTAACA